TACTGTTATCATCTAATGTAAAATTGTAACTTATTTATTTATCGCACTTATTACGCCAAAATTGTATTTTATCTCATCTCTCTAGGTATAGATAGCGCAAGCTAGGAGTACCTTATTGTATTATAAATAAAAAAAAAAAAAGTTGTCCAGCCGACCAGCCCTGTACTATAATGTACGATTGAAATACTTAGCTGGTATATAATATATAGTTTATTTAATCATAATTTGATTTAGGGTTTTCCAAACCAAACTAAAGTACCTATATTAGATATAATGTGTGAATAGAAGATTTCATCTTTTTATCAACGTATTTTTCAAAAAACTAACATATTAGGTTTATAAGTTTTTTTTAAAATGCTCTGAATTGTAAAAATATTTTAACCGTAGTATGAAGTTTGTTTCGCTCCGAGACCTTTTTTCCACCAACATTTTTTTCCTTGACACTTTTCCCGATTCTTTTTTTCGGGACTTTTTTTACCAAGATTTTTTCAGAGTGACATCCACTTAACAAGTTTTATTTTTTTTTAGATTGGCCTAATGATGAAAATGATGATTATGATAGATATGAAAAAAACATCAAAACATTTTGTAAGTAATTTCAAATAGTACAAACATGCATATAAATATAAGTAACGTACCTATAGTGTACTTTATAAATAAAAGCTAAGATTACATTATACACGTATAAAAGTTATTAATTTAAAGAGTCATAGAAAATAACAATGTTACTTTTGTAGTCAATATTGAATAATAATTATCGATAGAACAGTTATTATTAGACTATAATTCTATATCATGTTTAAGCTAATTTAAAGAATATTGGCTATCGAGTTTGTCTATATGAGTTGGATTGGAATCATAATGTTAAAAAAAAAACGATTAAGGTTTACGTTAGTATAAATATTATTTTAAGTTCTTTGTGTACCTACATATAAAAGTAACATTTATTTTAGAAAAATTACAATTTAAGTGTATTTGAATATATTTTAAAAATGTATAATTTATAATTGCTTTTTACCAGTAATATTTGGATACCAGATTATTGTGTAATCCCAAATACCTACAATATGTGCATGTGTATAAGATAAACTGTTTTTCGGGAACTAATATCAATTAATTATACATTAATACAAAACTTTTAACTAATATTTATAATTGAATAGGTACCAAATTTAATTTATAACAATATATGTAATAGTAAAAGGCGCCATTAGGAAAGGACCTTGGGGGCTTGCCCCCAACAGGTTTAACCTAACCTAACTTGATAGGGTCTGAGAGCCTACGTTCTGTCCTCAACCGTACACGCTGCCCAAATGGGAGAGTATACAGAACTATAAAGGTGACTCACGGTTACACGTCCTACAGTCAGAAGACGGTTCAAATCCCGTACCATGCTTATTTTATTCATTTTATTTTCAGTTTCCATCCCAAGACTTTTCACAGCACATGTGGCTGCATCACACAAATAGTTTCTTAATCGTATTTTAGTTAAAAATATCAATTATCGGCGTCTATGCTACTAATACAATCATAGCCTCAACAGACAAATCTCCCTAGTTGAGCCTATGATAATAGTAGCATTTTAATTGTGTTGTAGTGTTCTATATTTTTACCGCTCAATATTGTACACATTATAGTTTAATAAAATGAAATAAATTTGCTTATGTTAACGTTATCGAAAAAAATCTCAAATGATGATTATTTCTATAAATCTATCCATGACAAAACATAACCATTATCAGATATAACATGTACCGAATTGTGTTGGATTGAATACATTAAGTTATCACACTCAACTTTCGTATGTATGATATCCTGGAAATTCTGTGTTCTTAATGGGATACCTACTATTGATTAACTACGATAATAGTATGAACCTTTTATCATCATATGTTTGTTATAAATATTTATACTTAGGCAAAAAGGACTATGTACCGTACACACAATTTAGTAAGTTTATGAAAAATCTATTGATCAATTAATTTAAGAAAGTGTAAGATTATAAGTGAAATTTGAATTTTGAACCATTATTTAAATAACTAAATATAAATGTACAACACCACAAACCACAGCTTCTAATAAAAGTCATAATTATTATTTTCTAAAATGGATGCTGACACGTATACAGTGACGGGGTTCAATCCCCCCCCCCCACCGAAAATTAATGTTGTGTTATTTATTTATATCAATAATTGATAATTACATGGTAGGTGACAATTTGTGTGTTGTATCCTAACACCAAACAAAAAAACATTTTGTTGTGTACGTGCCTGAATGAATGTATAATAAATAATAATAGATAGATGAACTATAATGTAGATGGGTTCCTATTGAAAAAAAGAATTTTGCATTGTCACAGGATCATCCTTAAGTGGTACAAAAAATCACAAGTATTCAAAAGTATTAGCCTTAAAGTGACGTTATTATGTTAGGTTTAAAAAATTCGAAAAATTATAATTTGAATGTATTATGTGTAATTTAATTGGATCGCAAACGAACAAATATTTCAACCAAAATATACCAATTTTTCGTCAGCCATATCAATGAACCTGTAACGTGAAAAGGCTTTTTAAACTGATTATATTTCGTTAAATTATATCTACTTGATATCGACCAGGCCGCTTGATTAACATTTGGTTTTTCTCGACTTTGATAAAGTTTGTTTGAATTTTAAAAATTTCAGAAAACTTTAATATTGATTAGGTATTAGAAATATAAATTGAACATCATAAAACGTGGCCTGTTCATACAGCCTTTAAACTCATAGACGGGGCATGCCAGACCGACAGGATTGGTTGTGGCGGACATATTAATGGATTCAAATCAGTTTTCAAAAGTTTATTTATGTATTTTGTATTCATACTCTCTGTTATCCGTATTTAACTAATGTTTATAGTAATTTCTATTAATAATACATTATCAATATAAATACATCATATAATCGTATAGTATTACGTATATTTTTTCATGATATGTATGAACACATTGAATATTATATATGTACTAAAAGAATTCCCAATACATGAATGGTCCCGTTTCTGAAGTAGGTGTGGTCCCAATTACAATCAATGTTCTACTGTATACTTAAAAGTATAAAAAACCAGAATTCCAATAAAATGCACTAATACAATGGGATGAAAATACTTTTATTAAGTATTCAATATTTATTATACCATATTACTTATTAGAGTCAGGTATCGAGTATCTTTAATAATTCTTTCATTTTTTTCTTTACAATTTAACTTAATTTCACAATCAAATTATGTCATCAAAATAATAATTCTTGATTCTATTTTTAGAAGTATCTTATAAAATCGTATTGTTTGGATCCATCATGAATGATTTCAGAGAGTGTCTATATAGTAAGTAATTAAAGATATGTATATTTATCTTGAAATGTATGAAATTTAAATCAGAAAAATCAAATTATTAACATATTATTTAACCTAAAACTTCTTTATCTTATTACAAATTTACCTTGTTTAATATATAGCTAAACGCCATTAGGGGAAAAGTATTCAACCACTCAGATGTACAGTAAATGTCTACTGTCACGTGTATTATTGTCATTGAGCAAGTCACTGTAATAATGCATATTATCTTCAATTATATGAAAAATGATTCTGTGCGAAACAAAAAACTGGAATATGAAAGACGAAAAAACAAAGATCTGGAAATGTTAGATTATTATATTAAGCCAAAAACTATATTGTTTTTAAAGAAAAAACGCTTGGGGATCTGGCGAAAATCCCAAAATAAATATCTACATCAAAAACTCCACAAAAAAGCGACCAATAAAAATACCTCGACAGCGATGGCTCGATAATGTGAAGAACGATACACACGAGTCAATAAGATTTGATGACACAGTGGACAGGAATAGATGGAGAAATTTGGTAGAAACATGCAGAAGGCCTGAAAAACAAATGTCACCCGAGGGCTGTAAACTAAATTTAATTAAACACGATTTTCTTTTATAACATATTTTTTGGTTTCCAAGAATATGGATCCGGGATCACCCAGCGGCGAGTGGTATATAAAAAATAACTTTGAATACAAATCGTAGAGGAGCTTTATATCAGAAAATAATAATAATTGAGGTTATTACTTAGGTAGGTATATCATTCTATAACAAAGACTGTGAATAGGTATTTAAAAACGTTTACATTAATTTTATGCTATTGGGTCATTACTCATTATAGTTTATACTGTATTTAAAATAAATGAACTTCTTTAATTATTAATATCAATATATTTATATGATACCTGCCAGATGATCGTCTCTGCTCAGATTAATTTGTGTATGCAATGATTGGTCATTGAATTCAAAATGAATACATAAACATTACAGTGACTTATACTCCTCAATGACAAGGCATGCACTATACACGACTTCTCTTGAAGCTCGGGGTAGTTATCTATTTTTAACCTTTTTCTATACATGTATGCAATAAATACATTACCATCGATTATCATTTTTAAAAATATCTGGTGTTTGTACGAACATAATAATAATTAGTAATATAATGTATTCACATATTTTTAGATTGTAAAAACGACGTGTCGATGTTAAAACTGTATTTTGGTCCAAGTAAGTTCCACGTTTTATAAGAATTAATCAAATTATTAATATTTTTTAATTTTAGAGTGGTTTTGTTAATCAATAAAAATTAAATTAATAGATTTTATCAAATTAAATTTATAAAATGTTAATACTTTGGTTTCTTTTTCTTTTAGATGCGTCCAATGATAACATACAGACATTTATAGGTTTGATATCAAGCGTATAATAATTTAACGTTAATTTAAATAATCGCCTCATACTAACTCATAAAAAAATATATATTTCTCTTGTAGTAAATTTATACCTAAAATGAATACAAACAATAAATATATATTTGAAAGAAGTTCCATTTCCAAAAAGTCTTTACTATAAGACTATCGATTTATAAATCTATTTTTATTTCACTCTCCCTGACGTTATACAATTTGTATACTTATCAAAAATACAACTGTAATTTCATAACTGTAATAAGACGTATCTATTGTGTACATAACTACAATATTTTTCGTATTAATTATAAGGAGAGTTAGATTGCACAATATATAACGTACATTTTCCACACAAAATCTATATGGCTAAAATGGAAATTACAGTAATCGAGTCCTGTTATATAAGTGACAATTCATAGAATCTAGTAAATAAAATCAGTTTGTTTAATATCAGTTTATCACAATCGTCTATACATGAGGGTTAGATGATAGCCTATAACCTATAACTTTTTTTATTTGTTATTGTTATTTCAAGACTGGTTCATTACGGATTATTGAGCAACATTGGAAATGTCATTTATTAAACCTTGGCTAATTTTTAATTTTGTATGATTTCTTTGAAAATTCACTGCTAAGTTCTTGCCAAGTTAGAGCCCAACTTTTTCAAAAACCTTCAAAAATAAATCAAAATTGCTTATTATATAGTTTGTTAGATATTATTGGAAAAGTTGTATCGCCTTCACATCGACATATTCATCGACCTACATCAATAATTATTTTCATTGTGAAAAAATAAAACACTTGTTTTAATTACCAATTAGTAGTTTTTAACATAGACGAATATGTCTTTAAGGAAAAAAATATTGCTAAATATAGATTATGTGTAATAATAAATAAATAAAATTTCTTATATATTTGGGAAAGGAACTGTGGAAGGTTCAACACCTAAATCTTCCTCTGTGCATACACTACCTTATAGTACACTCATCATTTATTATTATTATCTATTTCATCAGACTCCTGGTTTAATTTTTGTTGAAAGTGATTATCATTCATCACATTATAACCGTGTGTTCAATTTCACGGTTTTTTAACTGGGCACAGGATATATTATAAGCACCTATACTACTTTTTGATAAATTCCATATTTTACTATTTTTGACAGTGTGTGCGCAATCACTGTTTTTGGGAATGGATTTCTTTGTTTTTTCTAAGAAACTTCGACTTTTACAATTTTTATATTTTCAAAATTGACATTACTAATCAAAAGTTCGGTGTTAGGTCCTTCGTCATGATCGTATTTAGAATTATTTCCATATATTTTCATGAACTGTTGGGTAGATTTCAGTGTAAATTAGGTACGTTTTTTTTTTAAATCGAATCACTTTAACTTCTTCTATATTGAGGAGGCAGCCATGAAATTGAAAAAATAAAAATGTATTTATACGTAATTTTAAACGTAATTTTATAAATTATCTTTTACAATATCGATACTAAATACATGTAATGGCAATATTGCATAAGCAATCATGAGGAATCGTGTATGTGCTAAGTATACAGAATGTGCCACAGAAGTAGGGCTAAAAATATATACACATAACTCTACTCGTGTATACGTGTATAATTATTGTGTTTACATTTTATTTTAGGTGCCCATTGTCACCTTTAAAATAGGTCATACACTTGCTACCTGCAATATCTTTATAATATAATATGCACATGGATAAATACTATAGTAACAAATTCAATATAGAACAATAATATACTGATGGCTGATGATTGTATTGTACTAATTATTGTAATTAATATGATTGATGACAATTCGTAATATGACTTCACTGTTTACATTATTCTACATAAAGCATTTTTTTTTATTAATTATATACAGTAAGTTCCCGTTATAACGAATACCGATACAACGAAAAATCCCGTTATAACGAAAGTCATTGAAGTCCCCTTCCGAAAAGCTATTAAAACAATGTTAAACTAATCTCAATATAACGAAATGATTGATTTTTAAAAATTCCGATACAACGAACTATTTGTACAGCGTACAGGTTAAAATATATGTATTTTCCCTTCTTAATTTATTTAATCTAATGATAACAAGCATACGATTTTACGAAATTATCAAGCCATTAAATTTTCATTATGTGAGACCGTGTTATTCCGCGTCAATCGATAACGCTACACAATCAGTCGGGTGTAAACCTTCATAAAGCTCTCACGTTGGTAATTTTTATTTTTCCGTATTTTATGCTTCTTCTTTATGTACGTACGTGATGAGTTCTACTGTGAAAAGAAAGCAATTTTCGTTGGAAGAGAAGAAAAACATAATTTCTGAAGTAGACAAAGGATTGAAGAAAGGCGAGGTGGCAAGAAAGTATGGCATATCTCCATCAACATTGTCAACCATTTTAAAGGACCGAGAAAGCATCTTGAAACAACTGCAGACTTCTGTTTTTGACCCGAGCAGGAAAAGGATGCGTAAGGCACAATTTGAAGACGTTGATACGGCGGTTTACAAATGGTTTCAAGATGTTCGTTCCAGAAACGTTCCTCTGACCGGCCCTTTAATTCGAGAAAAAGCCTTAGAATTTGCTAAAATGCTCGAAGTTGAGAATTTCCAAGCAAGCGTCGGATGGTTAAATCGTTACCGTGAGCGGTATGGTGTGTTGTCCAAATGCATTTCTGGAGAGGCGAGTGACGTGCCAATGAATTCTGTTAGCGAATGGCGAAATGGAGAAGTTGCTGCACTCATCAAGAAATACAACCCGGACGATGTCTTTAATGCGGATGAAGCTGGAGTGTTTTTTCAGCTTGAACCAAAAAGGACATTAGCCCAGAAAGAAGACAAGTGTGTAGGGGGTAAAGCTTCCAAACAACGCATCACCGCTCTGTTCTGTTGTAACAAATCGGGAACGGAGAAACGAAAAATCCTCATCATTGGCAAATCTGCAAAACATCGTTGTTTTAAAAACTGTAAATCATTGCCATGCATCTATAAATTTAATAAGAAAGCATGGATGACCCAAATAATTTTTAATGATTGGTTGATAGATTTTGATACAGAAATGAAAAAGAAGAAGAGGAAAATTCTTCTTCTTATCGACAACTGCACTCCACATAATGCACCACCAAAATTGGATAACATTCGTGTGGAATATTTCCCACCTAACTGCACAGCTGTACTTCAACCTCTTGACCAAGGTATCACCAGAGCTGTAAAATCACGCTACAGAACCTTTTTGTTACGTCAAATTGTATGCGATTTGGAGAAAAATATCCAAAGAAAATGTAATGTGAAGGATGCTATCGAATGGATATGCTGAGCTTGGGATGATATCAGTCAATCAACAATAACTAACTGTTGGAAACATGCAACCACAACCAAAGACGCCAATTCTGTTTCAGAAGTGGCAGAATATGATGATACGCACGATATCCATCAATCTGAGTTAGAACAAATTTGGATCACTGCAAAAAAGAAAACGTCGCTTCCTGACGACGTGAATTTAGAAGATTATCACGGTGCAGATGACAACGTTTCAACATGTTATGAACTAACCGACGTAGACATCGTTCAATCCATTAAAGACAGCAAAGAAGAGGCCACCGATGAAAGTAGTGGAGACGAAGACGAAGAAGCTGTGATGGGAAATGATGTGCGCAATGTCACTTCATCAGAAGCCTTATCAAGTTTGGAAGTAATGCGAACATTCATTACATCACAGAGTAATGTACCAGACTTCATCTTTACAAACATTCAAAAACTACAAAATTATTTACTTTCTATTAAAATAGCAAACCTTGTTCAAAAGAAAATTGTTGATTATCTATAATAAAGTTATTTATTTTTTCGCAAATTATTTACATTTGTTAAAATTGTCAATTATTTATACGTAATAAAGTTATTAATTCTTTCCGCAAATTATTTACATTTGAATTATTTATTTATTACATACATATTTGTATTTGAATTATACATATGTATGTACATAATGTTTTTGAGTTTGTTTTTATTCGAATTTTTAAAATTTCGTTACAACGAAATGTCCGTTATAACGAAAAAAACATTCGGTCCCTTGGAGTTCGTTGTAACGAGAACTTACTGTATTATAGCTGTCTAAAACAGTGCTAACGGCTTACTCAATGCAGTTTACCTAATCACCACCTGCTACATAACCGATTCAAAATATACGTTACACTATAAATAATACTCAAATTATCAATACAACATTTATATTAAAAGCTTATGAGTTTTGTTTATGACTTCTGTACAATACGACATGTATGGTTGTATAATTTTTTACTGAATAATGTCTAATCTTTAATAGCACATGCACAAATATGTCCATAACATCTAATACATGATACAACTTTCTAAAGTTAACCCTAAAAAATTATTTCTATTATAGTTTTTAACAGTATAGTTGTATAAACATGCATTTTGCGTTTCTTCTAATTATAATTTTTGAATAGAAAGCTGGAATTACAAATCGGTGATGAATAAGTGTCTTGGTACGTAAAGTGTTAATTAATTGTATTTATTTATTTAATTGAACTCCCATGTGGGCTCAGCACTATACATAATATTATACAACATAATAATACATTATTTTAAAAAAATACCATAAAATAGACTTAATCATGTATTATCAAATACAGTTAAGAACAAAACTAAGTTTAAAAATACAATATATTGGTACATATGAAATTTATAAATTTAAAAAAAATTAATATCATACATAAATATCATAATATCGACATAATTTAATTTGCTTCATTCACAAGAGATAATATCTATGTTTGTATTATACTCATATGACGTGCTGTAGGTTTTTATTAAGAAAGATGGATAAGAGTGAGATGCCTATTGAGGGAAGTGACGTAGTACAAGTTCCAGTATCTCAGAACAAGATTACCGATATACTAGGAGGAATACAATTAGAATTTAGAAACAAATATTAATTTGGGTTTGATAGATTTAACAAAGGTAGCTAAATTTCTAATAGAAAAATTAGATAAAGTAATTACATGAAAAGAAAATCGATTATGAATATTTGTAAGTATAGGTACACCTTTCGTATGAACAACTATTTAAATTCTATATGATCTATATGATCTATCTATACGATATACAGCAAAGTCTGTCATCTTCAGTTAATTACTATTTATGCTACCAATGTTTCATTAAGCCAATTATAGATTGATATAATACATACGTTATGACTTATGGTTTAGTGAAACAAAGTTAAGGCATACATTGAATAACTTTTTTTTAAGCCACTCACGTTTGGTAATAACCGAAAAGAGTGTAACAATTATTACTATTTCAGATTTTATCACTGTAATAGTTATAGGATGCCTTCAATAAAATCTTAACAATATTGATTGAATGTTACTATGTATCATTTGGCCATTGTATGGCATAGAATAGACACGTCTATTTACTCAGAAAAATAGCCGACAATTGTTTATTTCCTTTTTCGAGCTAATCACATTGTTGAATTTTTTCCTGAAATGACGATGAATGGTTAACGGAGGAATATGAAGTCTTTTTTTTCACATCAAAATTATGAATACTCGTTAGGCGGCCAACCAAAGAAGCGTAAGAGGCAAACAATTTTATAAATCAGTTACTATACTGAAGCATAGACAAATTATCAAGTTATATTATTATACTGCAAAATTATATTTGTTAGTTAGCCTATAAATTGCAATATTAATAGTAAGAGACGGGGGCGTGTTGAAAGTGCATACTCTAGAATGAGGCAGTTATAAATTGTCCTCAGTGGAGGTTCATTACCAAGTTATTATTTTTTTATTTTATGTTACCTATAAGTTATTGCAACATCTATTTTTATAAAAAAAACCAAACAATAATATTATTGTTCGAAATTTTGAACGTATTTACGACTATAAGCCCAATTAAATAATTATGTCCCATACACTAGATACGATTTTTTTTTTTTTTACGTTTTAGAAGATTTGAAATCAAAAGTTTTGGAAAAATTAAAAGATTATACATCTGAGGAAGGTACATAATTTGTATTTATCTTTTTAAATAAAATGATGGTTTATTATTTAAGCAAAACAAAGATCTTTTTTAAATGCGTTAAATTATATATACTTTTTACGTTAATGGGTTCACTTTCAATGAAGTAATTCCCTGACTCAATCTAAAATCCTCGGAGCCGTCTGCTTATTGGATTGACTTGGTGATTTAGCCTTGTATCGTGTTTGCGAGAAAACTTTTGAATTTTGTCTGTTATTGTGGACAGCATCATATCACGGTGAATTTCGTTGTTTTTTTCGAACCATTAGGTTGAAGTGATGGTCCGAAGCTCGATGTTTTCACAGCTTTGAATTATCGATGTTAGACTTACTGGCCCGACCCCACAGTTCAGCTAGATAAGGTCATAATAGCCACACACGGAAGACTGTTTTCGATGGTTAACTTGGAGTGGGTTATGACTAAACAATACAAATTTTAAATAGTTTTCTTTAATCTGAATTTGGTTTTACGGACGTAGTGTTTTCCGTTTAGAGAGTTTTTTTTTTTTTATTAGCCATAAGTTTAGAGAGTTAAAAGGTGGGTTCCAAGATATTTATCTTTAAATTACTTTATAGGATTCGTTATTTATTCAGTACTTTTTAGATTTTTCGGTTTTGTGTAATGTATAAATAATATGTACCGATTTATAACCATTGATCTTAATTACCATAGATAGCAATCTGAGTTGCCTTTCTCGCAGCATTAACATTGTTAATATGTCATTAGTTAATTTGTTAGCTAAAATTTTAATATCTTCTATTTTTCATGATAATATAACACATAAGTAATTCTAAGTAATAATCACAATAATAGAAACTATAATAAAGTACTAAAAATGTTAATCACAATTAGATGGTAACAGCAATAAGTCAATAAATTAACAAAAATTCATCGAATGGTAAAATTTGTAATTTTCAATATTTTTTCATAGATAAAGCAAAATATAATTTATCTTCAGGTAAGCGCATTCAGTTTCATAACATTTACATAATTAACTATACAAAGTAAAAATTAAAAATCTATTTTGTTAAAAATGAAGAATCAATTTTATATTTTAGATACTGTTTTAGAGCAAAGAATGTGTTAGATCTTAGATACATAATTTTAAATATATAAACACAGTTTTTTTTTATAGAGATTTTAGTTTAAAATTGGGACAAAATTATATATTTAAACGAAGAATAATTATTTTAGTAGTTTTCTAAAAGTCAACATTTTTATGTGATGGTTTCAAGTAGCTATGTAATTATATTTTTAACTCAAAATGACATTTTAAAATCTAATGTTGTAGCAAAAATTAAGTATACATAAAGTATTTTTGTTTTGCTTTCCATATCTTGTATACGTTTGGTAGCTTCTACAGGTTCATTCTATCAATTTCTGTTCCCTGAGTCATCTATAAATGATTTTTCTTAAAAAAGTATTATTTTTCTAAACTATCTGTGGCCATGAAAATATTTTGATTTTTCGAAGTTTATTTCAATTATTGACGATAAATAATTTATTACTAGATCAAAAAACTGTAAAATGTAGTATAAGGTTAAACATAAGTTGTTAATAGGGTAATGAAATACAAATTTGAGAGTAAATCTACAATAAATTGTTCTAAAATTAGATTTCTTATAAAAGTCGCGAATATATTTAATATTCAAAATAACTAAAAATCTTATCCTAGGTTTTAATATGTATTTTTGCCACAAATTTGAACTTAAAATGTCTGTAAAAAATAACTGAGTTTATTTATTTTTTAGAATTTTTATTTACAATACAAATTAATTATGTAAAACATTGTTTTTCATTTGAATTCTTAGCTAATATAAAAATTTGAAATCGAATAATATTTAAACTAAAAAATTATTTCACAATAATCATTATTTATTATAATTATTTCACAAAAGTTTTGTCAACTTGAAATAGTTATTTATAAAAAAAATTGTGCCATGGATTTTTTATATTTATCGACTGCTATTATAAAAACTTATAAGGAACTTTGTATCAAATATTCAAGTTTTTTGACCAAACTAATAATATTTTATTGACAATTATGGAATGAAGAACTAAAAAATAAAATGATTTTTTACTAAAGAAAAATGTGAATTCTTACGTGTACATTTTTTTTACCATTGACTAATTATAAAAGATACTTTTAATTCAAAACTTTTTTTTTATGAACAATTTTCACACTTCAGATTTTCAAAATATTTTGACTCTCTTTGAATGACTCATGAATAGTTTTTGAAATCCTTTGAGGAATACTTCATCTAATAATAATAAACTTACCATAAAACATAATATTAATATTACTACTATTTTGTTTAGAAACGGGATTAGGAGAAAAGGCTAAAATTGCATTTATGATTGTCATGAGTGAGTGAATTTAAATTGTATTCATATTTTAACTATCAAATATTAATAAAATATGAAAATAATTGTTATTTAAATTCATATTTAAACTGTTTACTGATCCATGATATGAGTAGATTCATTTTATGTGTATAAGAATTGTAATAATTTACCTAATTATTATTATTTATTACAATATATTTTAATCATCAGGTTAACCTGAATTGTTTGATCACTGGTATTTTTATTGTAAAGAACCAACTATCTATTAGCTCTATTCCACCATTATGTTGGACCTCAAAAAAGTTAGCAGCACAACTATAACAGATACATATGAAATACATCCAACAAACTTGATGGATATTGTTGGATACTTCCAGACTTTGATAGTGTTTCATTTTTCTTCAGACCTTAGGTAATGACATTAATTAAAACCAGTACATGTCCTGAATAACACTTTTATTCTTAAATAAATAATAATTATAATAATCGTAATATAATAATATGTCTGAGAGACTTATATCATGGACATGACAATTGACAGCACATGACGACTACCACTAAAATACAAAACTAAAAATGATAATAGATCTTCTTCTTCTCGTGTGGTCGACAAAACTCATATACCTATCTCTGACCAATATTTTATAAAATCGATTACTCGATCAGTCAGTGTATTAAACAAATCATTTTTATCTTGTATATTATATGGTGCATTCGTGCATTTCAGCAGATGCTCGTCGTCCTGTATTTCTCCAAAGTCGCATCTTGGGTTCTCTTAAAGATTTACCCGCGTGCGGGCTGTTCCTGTCCGTATGCGATTTAACATCTTCCAGTCTCGATATGGTAGTTGGTATCCAGGGGGTAATGCTTCTTTAATCAAGTCAGGGTTGGCTGATTCCTCCTTCCACTTTTCTAAGCGTTCATCTGTCGGTCTTTTTGTTAGCGGTTCACATGTTCCAAGGAAACTTTCTCTTGACTTTAGCCGTTTATGTGGTGTTACTTGTCCATTCATTGGGTGTCGTTCATCTATTAATTGTGTTTCATTCTTTCCTTCCTGGTGTACACTTCTCTCCTAATGTGAGGTGGGGCAATTCCACTCGCTATGTATAATTTTGATATTGGGGTAGGTCTCAGACATCCTGTTATTAGACGGGTCGCTTCATTCAACGGAATAACTACTTTTTTGCATGTGTTGATCTGCTCCAGGCTGGATATGCATATTCCACCGCCGAGAAACATAATGCTTAAGTGGCGGTCCGTAGGATGTGAGGGTCTGCCCCCCCATTTACTACCCACAAGCTTTCGTAGTATATTGTTTCTCGCACTTACTTTGGCTTTTGTCTGTGTGTTTTGTACGTTAGGCTTCGATCTAAATAGACTCCGAGGTACTTAGGGTGGTCACAGTGTTCCAGGTCTACGCCATTCCATTTGATCATAAGCTTTCTGTTTGCATCTCGGTTTCTTAAGTGGAAAGCACAGACCTGAGTTTTAGTCGGGTTTGGTTTCAGACGGTTGGTGTGATAGTATCTGGTCAGCTCTTCTAGGGTTTTTTTTAGTGCATTTTCAACTATTTCAAATTTTAGTACCTGTACTGTTAGGGCAAGGTCGTCAGCAAATATGAAGTGTTTCGTTCTATCACAAATTGGTTGGTCGTTCGTATACACGTTGAATAACATTGGTGCTAGTACACCCCCTTGCGGGAAGCCGTTTCTCTGAGTCTTCCATCTACTTTTATTCCAATTCAGGCTAACATAGAATCGTCTATCTTTTAGTAGCATATCTATTATACCGACAAGTGAAGGATCTTTTGTTATTTCGTAAATCTTTCTGCGTAGTATCCCGTGGTTGACCGTGTCGTATGCCACTGATAAATCGATAAAGACAGCACCCGTTATCATATTTCCCTCAAAGTCATTCTCTATGTGTTGTGGTATGTTAAGGACTTGACTGGAACACGATTTCCCGCCTCTGAAACCTGCTTGCTCCTGAATAATATTTGCATCGATAGTAGTCTTTATCTGATTCATAACTACTCGTTCGAATAGTTTATACATAGTAGTGATATGTGGCGGTAGCTTTTTGCTTCGTCTGGGTTTTTGTCCGGTTTCAGTAATGCTATTACGAGCGCTTGTCTCCATGGTTTTGATATTTTTTTGAGGCGTATGCAGTTGTTAAAAAGTTCAGTAATCCATCTGATAGTTTGTGCGCCAAAATGTTTAATTTGCTCCGTTCTTAATTCATCTACTCCTGCTGCTTTCTTGTTTTTAAGTTCCCGTATTGCTGTTTCAATTTCCGATGTTTCGAGGAGGCTTGTGAACATATTGTTTTCCTCAGCTGTTCTTTTTAATCTTTTTGAGGTTTTCTCTACTCTTTTAGTTTTACCGTTCATTATTAGCTGATAGGATATCCCATTTGCAGATACATTTGTGTGTGCGAGTCGTCGTTTATTCTCTCCATTCGACTTCTTCAGCAGTTTCCATGCTTCACTACTGTTTTGAGCGAGGTTTAGTTCTTCTATAGTATCTCTCCAGTCTTTTCTTCTCTGTTCTGAAATTTCAGCGATTAGGAATTCGCCCATCTCTATTGTTTCATCGTCGAACGGGTTTTGTGCACATTTTTCCTTGTAGCTATCATACAGGTTTTCCAAATTTTTGTACATGCCTGCTATATAGTTTTGATGGCATCCCCGTGGCATGTGCTTTCTAGATATTATCTTCACCTTTTTTATGATATGGTCGTACTCACTTGGGATAGGTTCAATCGTGGTAATAATATTTTCTAGTTCGTTAGTGAAAGTTTCCCATTTTGCTTTTTTAAAGTTATAGCATCTTCGAAAGGGAACTTCAATTCCACGAATTGCTGTAGGTATCTATTTCACATATTACTGGTCTGTGCTGTGTTCGTGGTATTGGTTGACCTATTCGTTTTGTACACAGCTGCTCAATGTTTTCACTAACAAAAATATTGAGTGGGTTATATCCTTTCTTCCATCTTTTACTGTTTAAGGAGCTTTGTAGTTTTGAGTCATGTACCAGTTTCATTTGACATCCGTCAGTCCATTTCTCTACAAGCTCTCAGTCTTCATTAGTATCAGCGTATCCCCAGTTGAGGCTATGACTATTAAAATCGCCAATGACTATTCTCGCATTTTGGTTTTGGAAATTTGGGGGCTCTATAAACTTAAATGGTGTATTTGGCAGTTTATATATCGAGGTAATTGTGATATTGCCCAGATCTACGGTGATTATTTCTATATTGTCCTCGTCCGTTATGTGTACTGATTCGACATTTAATTTGTCTCTGACAAACATTGCACTGCCATACTTATTGTGTGGACGTCGACCTACTATCTTCATGTTAGTAATAGATGGGTTATGGTCACACTCTTTTCGGTGGGTTTCCTGTAGGCACAGTACGTCTACATTGTTCTCCTTCACCAAATGTAATATTATTTTCTCTTTATCAGATATCAGTCCCTCAATATTAAGTGACATCGTCGTCAGATATGGTTCTGATGAGTACCTTTTTTGGTGGTTTTGTCGACCGGTGGTTGAAAGATTGGCCGTCAGCATGTTGATGGTGTACGTCTCAGATCATATACACTGGATAGAGCTATAGCGTATATCACGCGTAGTCCGTGTTTGAAGCAGACCTGTCATGCCCGAAGTACTTATTGCGCATGCGTGAGAAGTGAAATAGATTGCGCGGGACGGGGAATGAACAATAATGTGTTATAGTGATAAGGACGATTAGGTACTGAATGCTTAGATCACATACTTTGCTCATGCGCAGTGATGACTTCAGGCACGAACAGCAATGCTTCAAGATTTTAAATCATAGCTCTATCGAGTGTATATGATCTAAGGTGTACGTCTCCGTTCGTGATAAAAAATGCTGCCGTTGTCCAGGGGGCGCCACGTGGAGACTATTTATATGCCCTCCATGATAATAGATAACAGTTAACAGATTAGTGATTACCCAAGAGAGTAATAAATATGCTTATCACACTGATGGATTTAATTTTTGCGGAGAGCTTCACGCACTTCTATGCTGCAATCTATACGCTAACAGCACAACTTTATATCAGCAATATTTCACCCGAATAAAAAATGTCAATATTTTGTTTGTTGGATATCTCTAGACTACGCTTAAAGTTTGGTAGACATTATTTTCGTGATAGAGCTTTTTCAAAGTTGTGCTGTTAACATAGGTACATAGTTTTTTTTTATTGTTCTAAAGAACGGCAACTATGACCATTGGTTGTTCGTGGGGGGAAACAGTTACTTTGAAACACTTATTGTATGTGAGGCACGGACTTCGTCGCTTAAAATCCCAGGTGATCATTCATCCGGGAGCTAGCCACGCTGTACACTCGGAGCATAAAAACATAATTATTACATACATTAAACATTGTCTGGTAATAATCCAATAGTGTCCAACAAGTTAGTTGGTTGTATTTCATATATGTCTGTCATAGTTGTGTTGCTAGCTAAATTGTGTTGGGTTAATACTCTTGTAGTGGTGTATTTAAACGGGTGCAATACTTAATATTCAATAGTCTATTGGTATTTTTTTTTTAAATAATAATACATACAATTCTTATTACATTCACAGTTATAACATTATTAATCATGTTTAATATAGGAGATGATAAACGTTATGAATACACTGATAAGCAATTTGAATTAATGAAGACAGATTTTGAAAGTAATATTATTCTTATACACTAATACTTTATCGCCTATCGGTTATCACTATTGTTGAATCGTATTAATTATTCTATAGTTTTTAATTTATTTAACCTCTTTGGATAACCACTTAAATTCTGGTTCTCACTAGTCATATTAAATATTTTATAAAACGAACTAAGATATAATGGACCGGTATCGACATAATTTCGGTGGACCAAAAAATATGTCTGGTGTTATGGGACCTTAATTTTAACTATCGCGCATGGTATCTTAAACATATTGATAGTTGCAAAATAAAATATAATTTAAGAAAACAAATAAAAATAAAATTATATACCTAGTACCATTTGATATGCATTTAATACATTTAAATAAAATCATCGATAAGTATCATTTAAAATGTATGTATTTTTTTGTATTCCATTTAGACATTACAGGTGAGCACTTATAATATCTTCACAATATAGAACATACAACAATGCTTTACATAAAAATGCTGGTAGTTTCTTATTTTGGATACTGGGTTTACCAAAAATTTAGTTTTCTTGCAATAATGTGTTTTTTGTGTAATTTTTTTTTTGAATATACAATTGCTTTAATATTCCATTCGAGGGTTATTTTTGGAAGCAAAGTCGATCAAGTTAGTACTTTGTAATGGTCGAAAGTAGGATTCTTAAATTATTTTTCGAATTAATTGAAAAAACTTTTAATTAGAGCAGGAAAGCAATTGTATTGACTCAAGTGTATTCCACAAAATTGATTTTGTATATAGTTGTAGTTCGTAAAAGAATTACTATAAAGGCTTGACTTATTGACCAAATATTTATATTATGTAGGTTTATACATTATCATAAGATACCATTTTTAATATATATATATGTTACGGGTAATGTTAACATTCGGATAATGTCGACATTATCCGGCTAATGTCGACATCAGCCATCCGTGTTGGCTAATGTGTAATTTTTCGTTTATAAACTTGAAACATCAACATTATCCGGATAATGTTAACCTTAGCCAGTCAATTTTGGATAATGTTAAAAGTTATGTACTAAATAGGCTATATAGAGGTTTTTTAGCATTCTATGGTGGTGAGCAACTTTTTTGGTGCCAAGGACCAAAAAATAAAAAATAAAATTCACGGGCCTATATATCACACTTCATTATATTATTACAATCTAAATTTTAAAAGTTATATCAAATTTAATTTATTTAAGTTTCATCACTGCTTGGTATTATTTAACGTGGTATATATTAACACAGCTTTAATAATAACACATAATAATAATAATAAAAAAAATTAAAAATATGAAAATACTAATAAATTAATATGATTTTTAAATTTAGATAAATTGTAATCGCAGGCTTAAAATCGCAACACAGGCCGCGGGTTGCTGACCCCAGCTAATAATATCTTATCTTAACTTATAACTGAGTTAGTCAGTTATATATCTTACCGATAAAATAAACAATATATATGAACTTAATATTTATCTTATTTCATCTTTATACCTATGTGACGTCGCGCTTCGATCTGTTGTTAGTCTGTTTCAGTTTTCACGTGTGACAGTTTCCAGTACAGAAAAATGTCTGAAGATCGTACGAAACATTTTTCGTTTTTAATTTTAATTAAAATTGTTATTATGATTATAAAATGTTAATATTATCAAGTTTTCAACTATAGTTTACAATAATGAAAGATTTAATTTTTACAAAGTGTTTCGTAGGATCTACAGACATTTTTCTGCTGAATTCATATATTTTTACAGAATCAAAATCGGGCAACATAAACTAACTTTAATTTTGTCAAAACAAAAGGTCTTTTGAGCTAAAATTGACGGCAGTAGCGAGGCCCCTTAAGTGTTTTAAATTTAATTTTAAATAAAATGGAAACAAAAATGGAATTTTATAATTTATTTGAGAAATTATTGTCTGAAAAAAGAGAAGATAATTCATCTTATTTATCAGATGAAAAATATTTAAATATAATTAATGAATTGAAAGGCAACCATAAATCTCGTCGTTTAAATAAAAAATTTTAAAATATAAAATAAAATTTAATATTGTATTATTAGTATAAACTCATTTAAATTATACTCGTATTATGTATTTTATGGTAATTAGTAATTATTGTATCTTTTTTTTTGCATATGGTTAATTGTATCTAAAATATATTTAATATTGCTAAAAATTTAAAATGATTTCATATCATGCATGATGCAATTTTATAGTTGTTAAGACATTATCCATAAGTCCTTGGCTAATGTCATATTAACCGGTTAATGTTAACATTAGCCAGCATTTAATAATATTCATGGCGGGTAATGATAACAGTTGGCTAATGTTGACATTAGCCGGATAATGTCGACATTATCCAAATGTTAACATTACCCGCGACATATATATAATATATATATTAGGCCCTTTTAAGATAAGACATAGACATTTGAAATGTTCGATTTTTTAATCTTTTACTGAGTTAAAATTTAAAGACCCATATCCATTTAGTATCATTTTTGGACCAGAAGACAGGTTCTTCATTGAATTCAAATTAAACACATTCATTACAGTGACCAGATACATCAATTATTTTCAGGCCACAAAGTATGTTTTAAAAGTAGTTCAGACGTTATTCTCGAATGCAATAGTAAGTAATATGATAGTTATTCATTTATTATAAATTATAATATTTTGAACTGTATGGACAACATAATACTATATTTGATAAGCTGTTTTAACACACTCATAAACGTAGTTAGTTTTACTAGAAATCATTATTCATATTTTCTAAGTGCCATTTCATAGGTTATTGATAGTCCTTCTCTATTGCCACTAGACTCCCGCTTAGAGATGGGCAGTATTCGTATTCTACCCATTTTTGGTACTTGATTGAACTGATCCAAGTACCATCACAAAAGGTTGTTTTTGGGATTTCGATGAATGGCAGTATACATTTAGTATACATTAATATTATTTACATCGAGCAAAGTCCCTTGACTATAGCTCGTGGATGTATAATACTTTGGTAAAGTTCGATTATTCACTTGAACATACACAGTTTGCTGTTCTTCGTTGAGGTTATCAGGTTATTCAAAGAAACCTGCAACCTTATATATTCAAACGAATATTCCATCATCTGGTTTAGGTTACCAAGTCTAGGTATACTGATGATAGACTAATTGTGGCAAATAACAACTCGGAGTACAATATTTATTATAAATGCATAATTAAATGTAACCATTTATGTATTTTAAAATCTTGAGTTTTTCTACTTGATCTGTAGTATACAACTTGCTTAGAATCTATATAAAGGTAATAAAATAAACGTATGTTTTTTTGAAACAATGCAGCTTATATACTAAACAATTACTTGATGACAAACATTTCAAAGATTGTACGCAAACCATGTTGTTGTAGTTAATGTTTTTGGTGGTGTCTGCAGTCTTTTTGTCAATTTAATGGCCATCTCGGTACTTCTATGAGAACACCCCAACATAGTTGGAAATCAGGGAATATTAATACGGTTAACTTGGCAAATGTTGTTGTGCTCTTGCTCGTTGATGTATCAACTCTCAATGACGTAGAATTTTGCTTGGTCGTAGATCGTAAATTATCAATTTGACGTAGAACTGTGATGAACCAAAATCTCTAGGCTTCAAAATTGATGAAGCATTGACATAAAAAACCATTGTTAAATTATAAATAAGAAAATAGGAACAAGGGGTTATTTAATTAAAAAATTAGTTTACTCTCTGTGGTGCGCAGGATCCTTCTATGATCCAAGAACAACAGTTATTAAATTATTCTAAGCTACTTGTAAACCCACGTATGCTGCATAGAAAAACTTAGTAAATGCTTAGAAGATATATGCTGAGTTCTGTACGCACCTTGAACGGAACATTAATAGACTGTTTGCCCAGTCATCGATTTGCTTCGTGCTTACACACCGACCGACTTGTGTGTATGTATGTAAAGCAACTAACGAGAGGTAGACGGGATCGCCGAGTGAAACTCGAGAGCGCTAGTGCGTGGTGGATGTGTAGGTGAGTATTTATGTGTATGTGTAAGCTTAAGACTAATAATAGAAGGGTAACTCAATAAAATAAATGTATGATATGTTGTGGGTGTATGTGTGTGTCGGTCGGTGGCTGGATTTGTACTTAGTATTATACTCATACAAATAGACTATAGTGAGGTCGACGAAAAGTAGACCGCGATCGTCACGCGCCTAACGGCCGTTTTTCGTAAATCCAGGGGTTCTACGTTTGGGAGTACTATTATTATTATTATTTTTTTTTTTACTATAAACGTTAGTACATTACCCGATTTGAAATTATATTAGGCGGGAAAACGTTTGGAGACCCATGCCGTAAAACGGCCGGTAGGCGCGTGACGATCGCGGCCTACTTTTCGTCGACCGCACTATAACTACGAGAATCTTGAGACTTACTCAACTTCAGAAAGTGCAAGGTAACACCTACAAACATAACACGAGAGCTAGTGGCAAAAATAGGAAAAACGAAATCAGACATGAGGTATCTTCTATGAGTTAACTTCAAGAGAAGTCGACTTAAGTCAATCAAACCCTTTCTGAAGAGAACAATGTTGTTATCCTGATAACTACACCCTAAGCGACAAGTATCAGTAGACCTATAGAAGGATGGGATGAGAGATTTAAACTCACAGATATGGAAGGACCCAACAGAAAACTTACGACTTGATACCTATATCTATCATGATTAAAAATGAAGATAAAAAATAAATGTCTCACAAAAGCAAGCTACTATTTCGCACATGAAGACTGTGGGTCATAAACCACTTGCCGAGCCGTCGAAGCACTATGTTTTTTTTTCACGATCTATAATTATTAACCATTAATCTTTATTAATGAAGATAGGTAATACTATTATAGTAACTACTCACTATTAGTTGACTTAAATAGGTAACTGAAACATTATATAGTATTATTATTATTATATTGTACATTTGTACTGCATATAGTGTTATTTCATTTTACAGTAAATCATAACCTATTTTTTTTTAGAGTTATTTGAAGGCAATACTAAAGACTTGTACAAAAAACGTACTAAGCGTAAGTTATTTCATTGAGATTTGTAGCTTATTAATGAATACTTTTGAGTGACTTAAAATACATTCTATAAACTTAACGCACATCATTAGTCATAAATGCATAATCATAATACGAATTTCTTATCGAGTTCCCTAGAAGTTTTCAAGAAAATAAAAAACCAGACTGTCGAAAAATGTGTGCCTTTTTAGTACAGACATGATTTTTTTAAGAAAAATATCTTTTTTTGTTTTAGCCAGGGTGATATATTTTTGTTTTAGATTGCTCTGACATTAAAGAAAAATGAATGTTTCAGTTTAAATTGTAGTGTACTTTTCATGCAAACTTGACCTTCGTGATTTCATGTAGACACCCGTTTCGCAGAACGCACTTAAGTTATAAGAAATTAAGTTCGAAATGCATAAAAATGATAAATTGATAACAAAGTATTTTAGTATATTTATTTATTAAGCGTTACTCAGAAGTAGAATAGGAGAAGCTCATAGTTCCAAAAAATTATTACTACTAACACTTTTTTTAATTTTTAATGTTATTACAATAAAAAACTAGAAATCAAAATATCAAATTTTATTTCCAAAATATATTTAAGATAATCATATTTATTAATTTATTATTATTGCAGTCGAATATTATGACTGGTATTCTGATTTTAGAATCTTCGTCAATTTGTAATTTTTTAAATGTTACACAAAATTATGTAAAAACTGAAAATGACATAAAAAGTAGTAATGTTGAAAAAATTAAAAGTATGAAGGAAGAATGTGATGAAAACACAATATAACAATGAAAAACATATATCACAGTAAAAATATAAAAATTCTCGATTTAAGAAAAAAAACTAATTTAAATTACTTTGTAATAATTATTTATACTGATGCTTTGGAAACTGGTAGCTCTCTTTTTCATAAAAATATAATTTATCCATAAAAAGTTGAAAAATAAATATTTCGAGCAATACTATTACAACCTATCATTTTTATTTTTTGTATTATGATTTTAAGCTACCATTGCAATTTAATTCACTAACATAAAAATGTAAATTTGTTTTATTATATTATAATGGCGTTATATTTAAATACAATTTAACTAAAATAAATATTTTTTAAACTTTTGATAAAACATAATTTAAATTATATAATTTTGTAAATAATTAAAAACTTTTGTTTAAAATACATTTCCAAGAAAAAATTATATGAAAATTATATAATTTTAAATAAAATTTTCGATTGTTAATTTTTTTCAATTTGTAAGCAGAAATACATTTAGGGAACAATATTATTATTACAAGCTTCACTTCCTCTCGATATTTTCTGCGTTACACAAATTTAAATTCAAATACCTATGAATATATTATTTTATTATAGGCATAGAAAAAATCTATAAAACGAAATCTTTAATTACTTTAAATTTATTAGTGGTTTAAAATAATATATACATCATTATTCTATTATTTTATATATATTTTTAAGTACAATAACATTAACATGATTACATATTTTTTGTACATGAATAGAATTCTATGGTAAGTACCTATAAATTATGTTGTTCTCGTATACCTTAATTCATTAAAAAAATACATACAATTTATTATGCTTTGCTAATAAACATGTACATAGTATTTGTGTTCAATTAAATTTGATACCTATGTTACAGTATTAAGAGGATTCGAAGACTTCAAAAGATTTTCAAATCAAATAAAAGCATCATGTATGTTGACAATTAATACTTACTACTATCAGGAATATATTAAAATATATACTATAGAGTATAGATAACTCACGCTATGGAAAAACGCTGCAACCAGATATACGGATAGTGTTAAATTTTAATTCAAAGATATAAATTCATTGTATACAAAAAACGATTCTGAGCGGAAATACAGAATAACTTTTGTAAACTATAATTTCTTTTACTTTTGCCAGTTATGATAATAATATTAATATTAGTAGGTGAATTGACGAAAGAGTTAGAAATCGTGTAGTTGCTGCTCATGCCTATAGTGCGGTCGACGAAAAGTAGGCCGCGATCGTCACGCGCCTACCGGCCGTTTTATGGCATGGGTCTCCAAACGTTTTCCCACCTAATATAATTTCAAATCGTGTAATGTACTAACGTTTAGAGTAAAAAAAAAAAAATAATAATAATAATACAGTGGTCGCCGCTTATAGTGTTCACTGGTTATAAGAATCAGCCGCTTTTAGTGATCAAAAATATCAGGAACGGAACAAACAGCCGTCTTCAGTGCATTTTTCACCGCGTACTGTGATCAAGTTTTCGGTTATTGTGATCAGAAATAATTATGACGTCGGAAATAAAATTTATAATAAAATTACCTATTTTTATGTACACAAAGGGGGAAAAACGATTACGAACGGCCGTCCTAATCTTATCTAATGTGACCCACGTAATGAGTGTACTTCATATCGTAATATCGTATATGTTTGAAATCTTTTGTGTTCCCGTTATTACCGATATGTAAACGGATGACAGTATACTTGTACGTATAGACTTATAAGCAGTTTGGTTTCGTCCGTCGCGTTGTTCGGTGCACTGTATGTTTAGCGTGTATTGTATTGTTTGTATAGTGTATTAATGTATTATGGCTAGTAGAAGTGCGCTTTCAATAAATGAAAAAAAAAGTATCCTATCCAATTATGACAAGCTTCCCGAGAAGACGAATCAGAGATTAGCAGCACAACAATTGGGCATTCCGCAGTCAACATTAAATAAGTTACTGAAATCCCGTAACGAAATAAGTGACTGCACTGAATCTCAAAATAGAAAACGTAAGCGTGAGAGCAAAAGTAAGGCAACCGATGAAGCTCTTTTCATGTGGTTTAAGCAAGCTAGCGCTATGAATGCTCCTATAAATCGCAGCATATTAATGACAAAAGCCAATGACTTGGCCAAAAAAATGGGAGAAATTAATTTTAATGCAACTGATGGTTGGTTGACTAGGTGGAAAGACCGCCACGATATTGTTTACAAAAAACTTCATGGAGAAAAACAAGACGCAGATGCGAGTGGTGCTGATTATTGGATTGAAACAACGTGGCCAACTGTTCTGAATAAATACGGTCCGGAAAACATCTTTAATTTAGATGAAACAGGGCTGTACTATAGAGCAACACCTGACTATTGCATGGTTTTAAAAAATGCACCGGCCTCTGCAGGGAAAAAGAATAAAGCGAGGATCACTGTGGCCTTGACGTGCAATATGACGGGTACTGTAAAAAAAAAACCAGTAGTCATTGGTAAAAGTAAGCAACCAAGATGTTTTAAAGGTGTCAAGAACTTACCTGTTGACTACTTCAGCAATACAAATGCTTGGATGACATCTTTTATTTTTGAAAGTTATTTGAGAAAATGGGATTCAACACTAGATCACAAAATCGCTCTAATTTTGGACAATTGTACAGCGCATCCCAACTTTTCTTTAAAGAACATTGAACTGGTATTTCTTCCTCCCAATACAACGTCTTTAATTCAGCCCCTTGATCAGGGTATCATCAAAGCTTTTAAGACTTTTTACAGGTCCGATATAAGAAGGCAAATTATTGACGCAATCGATGACGGACAAGGGAATGGTAACGACATAGCTAAGAACATGACAGTGCTACAGGCAATTCACATGTCACACAATGCTTAGATGAAAGTTACAACTTCATGTATAGTGAATTGCTTTAAAAAGTCTGGTATGGTTCCCATAACCACGAATGAAGCCCTTGAACTCGATTTACCCGATGTACCAGTAGATATTTCAGGACTCCAGATAGACAAAGAAACCTTCAATGAGTGGCTGGATGTAGATAAGGACGTACCAGTTTACCAGTTGATGAATGATGACGAAATAGCTGCTGAAATAGTTTCACATAAGGAACAGGGAAATGATGTTGAAGTGCATGATGAAGACGAAGTTGAATATGCAGAGGACCGAGTACCAGTAACCAGGAGTGAAGTATTCAATGAAATTAATACACTGAGAAGAGCTATTGAAGAGCATGACATAGGTACAAATTACTTTGATACGTTGAACAACTTAGAGCACATTATGATGGTTTCCATACCAAAAAAACAGGGGCAAATTACCGACTTTTTTAAAAAAACCTAAGTTTTAAATTTCGTATGTATGAATGTATATTATTTTATTATATTAATTTTTAAATTTAAATTTAATTAATATGTACTACTGTATTTTGATATTTTGCACAGTATTTTTAATGTTTTGTACAACATAAAATATGTATTTAAAAAAATTTTCGTTATTTTTTCGATATTTTTTGAGTCGCCGCTTATAGTGATTTCCGGTTATAGTGATCAAAATACTCTCGGACGGATGTGATCATTATAAGCGGCGACCACTGTAGTATTCCCAAACGTAGAACCCCTGGATTTACGAAAAACGGCCGTTAGGCTCGTGACGATCGCGGCCTACTTTTCGTCGACCGCACTATAGTAGTGAATGTTCGAATATTATAATTTTATTTAATTTTTATTTAATATTACAGTGATTGTTCTGATAATATTTATATTATATTATTCTTCACCTACTTCTACAATAGGCATTAAAATAGATTGTTGTCCACAGCCACTATAGACTTGTTTGTGAACGTTGACGATTGTTATTCGCATTGAGATTATTTCATTATTCATTCATTCCGTATCTTAATTTATTATTATTTCAAACCGGTCGAAAGGTACTCTATTGTGACGTTGTGCTATTAATCGCACTTTTCAGCAGTTCCATATCATCTAATATGATACCGGTGGCTTATCTGTAGTATATATTTTAGTCTATGCTACTGGTTACTAAGATAGTTTTAAAATAAGTGACATTCTGTAGGCGATTACATACTGAACGGGCCGGGAACGAAACAATGATAGTCCGCGAAGCCCGGTCACCAAAATACTCCGTACGCATCTTGTACGCACCGACCTGTGTAATAGCACTAATAGGTGTGTATATATGTGTAGCGACTCTGTAGAAGTGGACGGGATCGCCGATCAAGACAAGACTAGAGAGTGCTAGTGTGCGGTGGGTGTGTAAGTGTGTATGTATGTATGTGTGTGCTTATAATTAATAATAAAATGGTAACACGTTTATGGTAAATAATATGTTGCTGTATAATACACAATCTAAAAAAATAAATTTACAAATATAAAAATCACAGCAACACTAAAATATAAAAATATAATATAAATAATAAATCAAAGGCTTTATGGCTATTGCAGTATAATATATTTCTACGGCCCTTTTGGCCCAACAACTAAGTATGTAAAATAAATGAAGAAATAATATAATAATAAAAACTCACAGTTTTTGGAGCGCAGACTGGCCAGCTGGTCCTGTAGCTAAATAAATAAAATCGACATACAACAATATAATAGGAAAATCACCGGCAATTTGCGCTCGGTAGAAAAATATAATAATTTTATAACAAGGACCGGCGATTAGCGCACGATATAATAAAGGTGGCGAATTACGCCTATACAAATTGTAATAAAAATGCAGCGAGTTGCCCTTACAAAATATGATAGTTCGCGCCCCAACATAGGCTCCACTGGCCATTAGTATTATTTTGCTAATGTTGGTGACACTGTTCTTGTTCACCAGCTCCGGTCGTGTTAATCGTCGTATGCTCTGGCACACAATACGGAGCCATATCATTCTTCATCGTTTTTTAACTGCCGTTCTTGGCCATGACATGTGCCTTCTGTCTGTCGCTCCAGACCTTATGTACTTGAACAGCAAGTTTTGCAATTAACTCATAAGTGGTTTGTATTAAGTTGAAATTGCATTTCCGTTGGTTGCAATTGTCAACTTTATTGCACCTCCAGTTCGGCGTCAGGGCAATAAGAGTGACGTCTCCATTGTTTCATCAGCTCGGATTCAACGTGGCCTGATCGTCCATGCGTGGTTGCTCGTCTCACCGTCAGCTCGACAGACGCAGGAAGTTCGTCCGAATTTATCCGGGACATCGGCAGCTCCTCCTTTCCCGTATATTATGTATATTGAATAGCTCTGTTATTTGATTAATGTCATTTTATTATATTTGTAAGTTATGTCAGGTGGATTGGCCATCCCCTGGTAAGTGTATTTGTATTATTATATGTGTTCAATAAATCTTGTTAACAGTAGCCTAATTTCAGAATTGTATTAATTCAGTGTGGTGCGAGTCGTGGATGCCAACCTTTTGCCCAAGGAGCATCTAAGGCGCAAACATTGGTAGTAGAGCGTGGTTATTAAGTCAAAGTGCAGCGCCATTACTGGATTTGAGGTATATTGGTTGTATTATTGTCAAATAAGGTCATATATCTATTAGATGTAATTCCTATTTCATTTATGGTTTTTTTATATTATTATAAGAGTTATATTATATTTTAATATTTCATCAGTTAGGTGTTAGTACTTTAATAATATATTGGGATATTGTATTAGGTCAGGGTCTTTACACATGGCTTATAGTTGGCACATAGTTATCCTTGCTCACTCTTATAATAGTAAACTGAAAGCACAGTTCGTGTCTTACTAATAGTAGGTCTTCCATATGTACTAATTACAGTTATTAATATTTTACTCTGTATGGTTATTAATATTTTACTGTTACGGAGTAGATTGGCTTCCGTCATATACTAATATATTATCTTATAGCTGACAGTTTTTGCTATTATAACCATTAGTTGTTGTCAGTTCTTATATGTTATAT